ACAGTGGTAGCAAGGAGGCAAAAAAACAGAAAGGAAAACGAACGAGGAAAAAATAAAGATAGATGGTTGATTTCCTTTCTTTTCATTTTTTTTTTTGGGGGGGGGGAAAGAATGTATCTGGCTTCATTCTGCACGGAGTTATATGTATCTTAGGGCAATCACGTTCAGATGCTGGTTTTTTTTTTTTTTTTTTTACAAGAGAAACTCTGCTCATTCATATTACCACACCAAAAAAGAGGCCGGGAAAACCTCAACAAACAACCCGGAGCAAATTACTGGGACCATTACCCAGTTTAGGTGCAGGCCTTGGGACACAATGGTGTGGAAGCAGAATGGCCAATTCCGGACCGCTGCCCTGACACATCCCAACCCTGGGAAACAACAAAAACAAGCCACCAAGGCCCTCGAAAGCTGAACACAAACCAGAAAAAAAAAGACTAGCTATTGAAGTAAAGTAACCACTGCTGCCCAACTATTCACAAAAAAAACACACCAATCCCCATCCTATTCTTTCTAATCCTACATTAGTAGTTTACCCTAATACATGTGATACACTAATTCGAAAAGAAAAACAATTCATAAGAAAGGAAACAACTAAAACATTGGAGGAGAAAGCTCCATCCTACCTAATTCTCAAATCACTCCCTCCGCTTTCAATCCCTCTGCCATCCTACCGCGACTGTCCCAACCGAGTGACCAGGTTAGATCCCTTCATCTAGACAGAAAACAACCAAGAATCCAGAATCAGTTTATCATTTGCAATAATAGCCAGAGTACCACGGAGGCACTACGTCTGTCTAAACCATGCCAATCCTGTTGTCCGTTGTGATGATTTCAGCACCTTCCTTCTCCAGTCCGCCTGTATAACCAGTCTCAATTGGGATACAAATGTCGACCGAATCTGCTTGTTGGACCAGTCTTGGTCTTCGAAGACGCAGCTATTCCTGCTTGACCAAATCACATGGAAGGCCACCGCTCGTATTGCTTGTGCCACATAGCCCCACCCTTTGGCAATGTTCAAATGATCAGGGATGCCCCCTAGCAGTGACCAGTTCGTGGACCACTGAAAAGAGGATCCTGAGATGCGATCCCATTGTTTGATGACCCAGCGCCATATACGACTGGCTGCAGGGTAGTCCCACCACAAATGTACTGTTGATTCAAAAACCCATTGACACCGTTTGCATTTTAGCTCCACTCGTACCCCATGCTCTGCAAGCCATACTGCAGATGGTGTTGCCACCAGCGATACTAGCCATGATAGGGATGCTTGTCTTTGATCGGTGATTACCTTAAATTATTTCCAACAACATAGCAGATTATCCTCTATACATTTAGGATCTAAATCAATCAACTGAGCTCATCTATTACGAGCAACTGCCAGCGGATGTTTCACCAGAGGATTAAGAGTGTATCCCAATTGGAGGGAGTACTCTGTTATTGGAAGGTTTTGGCCCCCTTGCCCTCTTGCTCTCCACTCCCACCTTGTCGAATCTATTTTCAGGTGAGCAAGTGGTTCCGCATCTGCAAAGACCGTACAATTCATGGTATCATTCAGGTCCACCTGTTTCATTACTCTTACCTGACTCAGCGCTAAACCGAGACTAGGTTGGTCATTCGTGTCACTCAGGGTAAGAGTCCTGTCTGGTGAGCAGTCCCAGGACTGGAAGACCCGCTTACCCCCACTATCGATCGAAAGCAGTTTCCATATTCTAGTCTTATCCATCGAGCTGTTTCTATACCATGTCCCTGGAGGGTCTGCTGTAACTGCAAATAACAGGTCCTTCCATTTCTCCAGGATAGCACAGATAATTGCATCCCTTCGATCCTGTAGATACCAAACCGCCCCTAGTGAGGAGCGGAGGGATCTTGCCGACTTCCATGATCCAGTTAACTCATCCCAAATGTCGCTTATTCTTACAAGTCCTCTCTCAATCCAAGAGCGTCCAAAACTTGTCGCCGTTGAGTCTGTTGAGAACCAGTTCCCGTCTGAGTGTTTGATCATTGGATTTTCAAATATCGGTTGCAACAGAACCTCAGATTTGGTAGATGGTTCTACCCATGTATCGGGTCTGAGTTTCCTCCAGGCTTTGATTACTGTCCGCCAGAATAGTGACTTAATCACTCTGTTTTGGTAGGAGTGAAACATCAAGCACGTCCAGACATCAGATGGGCGAGTGAGGTTCCACTCCACAGACAGTATTCGTTCTGCAAGAATGGTCCAATGGTGAGCCTGTGGATCCGTGATAGCTTTAATTATTCATCTAGCTAGATAAGAATTGTTTTGTCTGGACGGATCTTTTATGCCCAAGCCTCCTTCTTCACGAGGGAGGCAGAGCATCTCCCATGCAACTTTGGACAGAAACCCATCAGCTTCTTCCGCGTATGGCTTCCAGATGAATTTCGTGGCTCTTCTTTTGACACATGAGTTCAAGTGATTACCGAATTGGCGAACTGTTCCCACAAACCATAACAAGGCAAATAGTGCACTGTTTACTACAGTTGCTCTTCCAAAAAGGGAAAGGTGCGGGGCTTTACCCCATGAGACCGCCATGTGAAGGATTTTTTGCAAGAGGATATCCTCCTAACTATCTGAGCAGTCCTCCAAGGCAATTTGAACGCCAAGGAATCTCTCAGATTCTAGGCCCTTGAGCCTCTTCATGCCCCACTCCATGACTGGTTGATAGTTTTCGTGCAGAAAGAATAAGGACTTATGCCAATTGACAGAAGCCTCTGATAATTCAGAGTATTCATCAAGGCAGTCTTTAAGAGCGGACATTGAAGAGGGAGAATTTTCAATGACTGCAAATAAGTCATCCGCAAGGGCCTTAACTTTATATTCCGTTTGATCTACCGACATACCACGAATCACAAGGTTCTCCCGAATATTATTAAGCAAACCCTCCAGTTGGAGTGCAAAGAGCAGAGAGGCCAATGGGCACCCCTGTCTCAGAAAGCGAGACAATGGAAAGCTTTGTGAAACTTCACCATTCACGATCATGGATGCTGTGGACAAGGTATACAAACCCTTGACCCATGTGCAAAAATTGCCACCAAACTTCATCCACTTCAACGTGGTCAAAACGTATGACCTATTGACTCGGTCGTACGCTTTTTCCAGATCAAGCAGAAGGACCGAGAGGTTAAGTTGCTCGGATTGAATAATCTCCAGCGATTCTATTGCTGTGACGATACTATCAAAAATGGAACGTCCTTGAACGAAGGCGGCTTGATCCGATGCCACCAATTCAGGGAGATACTTGCCTAAACGTCTTGCCAATACTTTCGCCAAAAGTTTATACGATACATTCAGAATGGATATGGGGCGCCAGTTTCTTATCTGAGCCCTATCTCCTTTCTTGAAAAGCAGGGAAATGATACCTTGGCACATATTTTTGGACAAGCGTCCACCTACTAGTATTTCATTATAAATTTTCACCAATGGTTCACCTACTTCATCCCAAATGGCGATGTACAGTTCAACCGGCAAATCGTTCCCTGGGGCCTTGCCCTTTGACATCGATCGAAATGCACAGAGTGCTTCGACTGAGGAAACTGGACGATCTAAGTCTAGTTTCCCGACCGAGGACAACCTCACAGTGGTGTTGTTCCAGTGTGGGCTATTCTCTGATAACCTATCTGCGACGTTACAGCCTTGAGCTCTGGAGGTCAGAATATCTTTAAAATAAACTGTGGCATAATCACACAATTCGATAAGCTATTTCGCTCTGGGGGCATCCAAGTTAAAGGGATGTTGTAGTTCTTTCATAGAGACTCGAGCCCTAGATGGCAGGAGCTTCTGAAAGGACTCCTTCGTCATTCGATCATTTACAATTACCCCTTTTATTCGCAGTCGTTCGGTCCACAGTTCTGATTTTTGTTGTTGCATAAGATCTCATTCTGACATCAAACGAGCACGTTATTTTCCCCAGACCAGTTCTGAAACTGGATGCTCTCGCATCCTTCCTTCGGCATACTTGATTCTTTTCTGCACGTTCAGTTCATTCCGAGATCTGTTAACAGCCAGTATCCTGGAGAAAACATTTAAAAGATTTGAGAAAACCCCGGTACCTGCATCCCACCACTAATCCAAGGTGTTATATGAGGATCGGGTATCTTTCCAGTTTCTCCAAAAGCTTTTCATCCATTCCACCAGCCCTACGTCATTAAGGTTCTCAGTATTGAATCTGAATAAGCCCTTACCTCTGTCCGTTCTGGACAGCAAAAACGATATCAAAACTGGTTTATGATCTGATAACGGTTGGGAAATTTGTTTGGACTCATCGACCATATCCCACAGCTTGGCTGAAACAAGGTGGAAGTCTAATCTTCGTTCAATTATGCCAGACGAATCCCTGCAATTTGAGCACCAAGTGAAGCCTTCCCTAGATGGATGGGATAATTTGAATGGATCAATAAGATCAAATTCTTCCATAAGTGTGAGCAAGGCCAACTTATCTCTAGGGCATTCTCCCAATTGAGAGTTCGTTAAGTCCAATGATGTGTTCCAACCGGGTAGCTGTTCGGATCAATGTAAGAATCGAGGAAGGCATTGGAGATTCGGGAGAATTCAGGGTTTCAATCATAAGACGACCATCTACACCTAGCCATGCTACTATCCAAAGCGCATTCCTGACAAAGCGGCACAGGAGGGGTAGGATACGACGTTCAATGTTTTGGATCTGACCTTTCGCTAATGATACTGGTCCTCTTCGTCTCGTTGTTTTAGAACCAGGGGTACCTACTTCCCTAATATGACCTTGTGAGTCTTCCGATTCGTGGAGGGATAGATCGGATTTCTCACCTGGGAGGATAGCATGTCCTCCAACGATTGAGTCAAAGCTCAGTCGTCTCTATTTGCTTGCGGTCTTCTTCGTGGATGAGGCGTCCTTGGGCGGGGAAAACCCCGGCTGATGAGCCCCATTGTTGATCGGAACTTGTGTCTGATGTATCGCTGATGCTACTGGTTCTCCCCCCGCCTTCGGGCCAACACCCATTGGCTGTTGGTATGGAGCCGCTGGTCTCCAAGGTACCTCTGATACTGTTCCTCCCATCCCATGTGAGATGGGGTAGAGAATATTTTGTCCGCCTACCTGCTGTGGTACTTGCGCATTCCATTGTCCAAGGGGGGGTGCCCCCAAGGCATGAAACCGTTGAATCCTGGCTGTAGTTGAACCTGAAGAGCGCTGACTTGTTGCTGTTGAACACCGGCAAGATTGCTTGGACGTGGAGAAAATGTGGGATTCATGGAGCTGGATTACGGTTGAAACCCCTGCGGGAGTGGCTGAGGCTCCTGTCTTGGTCCACCTGATGGAGAGGAAATTCCCGGGGAAGTCATATGTCCCTGATATGGAGGTCTTGACGATGCTTGTTGGCCGGCTGTTGGATCCTGTTGCTGCTGCCCCGACCGCTGGTTTCTTCGACATGTGTCCTCCGTATGGAAAAAAACTCCGCATCTTCTACATCTTGGAGTGTCCGACGATGCCAATTTCACCTCCAGTTGATCGCCTTCGAATGTCTCCAACCTTATCACATCCTTCATGTTAGCCCGTGCCGCTGGGTCAACGCCAAATTTGATGTTGACCAATGACGGTTTAAGTCTGTCCGGTTCCATGGGATGACGCCGAACAATCGGGCCAATCGCCTTTTGGATATGAGCATCCAGAAAAAGCATCGCATCCAGTGGAACTTGCACTGCAATCACCCAAAAGGTGAGTTGATCTTCTTCTCTTCTCTGCTCCTTCAGTTGTGCCTTGGTCATCCAAGGTTTCAATTCCAGCTTGTATGTCGTTGATCCCAATATCAATTCATCTCGCTCCTTCATCACCAGCCACGTTGCGATGATATTACTTTTTGCAACGTAGGAGACAACATTCGGACTCTCCATCTTAACCCTTCCTCTTCTGAATCCCTCTCTTTCAAAGCTGCCTTCCTGARTCTTGCTGTCTTCGTATGCTCTGACGATGTCGTCTTTCACTTTCTTCAGTAAAAAACGCGCGCCCTCCCCGAAAATAATCGTGACCGTGTGTTCTTTGAGCCAAGCCACTTTTGCTTGGTCAATGACCACGTTCACTTTAAACCTTGCCTCCCTACCCTGGATCGTCATTTCCCCTGGGTCAATATCCGGGGGAATGACCCCTTCTTCGTAACATAGTCTTATCAACTCCTTGACATGCTGTTCTTCATCTCGATTGCCACCCGGATCTGGGGGTGGTGATCTCGCTTCTCGTTGCATAACTACCTCCTCTTCCATTCGTTCTCCCTTCGGCTGGGATCTGACCTACTGCTTAACACCGTACGTTCTCGACTCTGCACCTTCTAGACACGAAAGTGCAAACAAGCCTTATCGATTGTGAACGGGACCTCACGGGTACTCACCGTGGCTATCTACGACTCCCTCCCAACAGTGCAGAGTCGGCGCCTCGATCAAGGCAAGGCAACATCCATAGCCCCCATCCACCGAGCTGCTATCATGGCGGTAGCATCCTCGGTTGAGTATAGCTCCGTTACCGGTTCGCTAACGCTTGGTCCGAACGCCGTAGCGACGGCAGAAGCGCTCCCGCGGCCCGCCCGGTCCGCGGCGGGCGTATTTTCCATTCACCTAGTTCCATCAGATGCTGGTTTCCAGTTTCCCCCTTCTCGTTTTCTTTTTTTTTTTTTTGGTAAAGATCCTTGGCTGTTTCTGCACTTGCTCCCCGTGACGGGGAGCATTCGATGCCTCAGGGGTCTAGTCCCACCTACACCGTTGAGTTTTCTCAACGCTGAGCTTTCTATCACGTGCGGCATGGTGGGACGGAGCTCTGCCGTTGATGTATTGCGAATCTAACGGTACCAAAATACAGGTGAATAACCTATTAGATTTAGTCATTTTGTAGAATTTTTTTTTGACGTGAAATCCGTTTTGTAGTATGCGTTGGCCCTTTTGGTTCGGGGGGGAAGCCATTTTCCGTTGAGAAAACTACCCTACCGAGGGTAGGGTACATTTCTCAACTTCAGTGCCTTTCCTTTTTTTTGTTTTTTTAGACCTCGTTGCATCCTGAAACGGAGGAACTCTGACAGCTGTGTTTGGCTGTCTGGCATCATACTGGTTTCCTTCTTTGGGCAAGGAATGCATTTGGCCATCCGCGTCGTCCCTGTCCATTTTACAAATGGTGACCTCCTGTCCCCTCACCACGGGGAGTATCCCTTTTTCACGGAGACATTGACGGAGACTGTTCCAGACATGTTTCATTTCTCCGAGTTACGTTTTAAAAAATAAGGAGAAAAGCTGTTTCTAGCGATTTTTTCAGTTTTTGTATTTCTTGTTTCGAATTTATTAATGTCGAAATGGCTTCACACCGTTGAGTTTTCTGAACTCAACAACCGTAGGTGGGACCAGACCCCAGGTCCCAGAGGCAGTGTGACGTCGACGCATGTATCTGGCTTCACTGCTGAATCTCAGGCCAATCACGTTCAGATGCCTGTTTCCCGTTTCCCCCTTTTCGTTTTTTTTTTTTTTTTGATAATAAGATAGTTGGCTGTTTCTGCACTTGCTCCCCGTGAGAGACGGGGAGCATTCATTGCCTCAGGTCCCAGAGGCCGTGTAACGTTGCAACTTCGACGCATGTATCTGGCTTCACTGCTGCACCGCATTCACTTTTCTCTCTTTTTTTTTTTGGCTTTTTTTTTTTGGAAGAAGATCCTTCACGGGAGCATTGAATGCGTGAGTGGAAACAAGAAAACGATGGCCTGTTTACGTTCCATCTGCTGGCAGCAGGTCTAAAGGAAGGGGGGGTACCCGCTTGCAGCAGCAGATGTCCCGTATTTTTTCCCACTCCCCGCAGGCCCGGCAAAAATTGGCGCGCAGGGCATATTCAGGCTCGACTTCAAGAGCTGGGCCAAGTACTGGTGGTTTAATCCGTGCAAGTGGGACCTTGCCCCTGGTCAAGGGTTTCCTCAAGTGTACATGGAACCATAAAATTTAATGGAGTAAAAGTGTAAATTAATCACAATTTCTCGTTCTAAAATTAAAATTAAAAAAAAAA